AAATTTGAAGCTAGATAGACGTCACTTGCTGTTTTGTTCTTCTTGATTTCCTTATCTAATTTAAAAATCATTTTTATTTATTTTTCTCTTGATCCGTCATTATATTATTTAATACTTATCCATAAATCTTTTGCCATTTTTTAGCATAAAAAACACAACACTGTTTCGGTTTCCTCCTCCTAGTGGCTACACATAACAACAACTTCGTCCCTAATTTATCAACTATTAATGTTTGAACCAAAGATGTATTTCTAGTGCCAAAGGCAAAGGACCAAAGCCCAAGGGATTCTTTGAAATTCTTTTTTTTTAAAAAAAAAATCTTATACATGGAGAAAGTTAAAAAGGATCAATGACATTAAAACTCCCTATGATATTATTTTTGACAGCCACACTCTTATTGTCTTAATTTGGAAAACAGAGTCTTACTTTTATTGGAAAACAGAGTCTTACTTTTATTGTCTTAATTTGGATAACAGAGTCTTTTATGGTTTGCTACGTTAGATGTCTCCATCTATAATCAATCCATTTTTTTTTAATTAATTTCAACTTTTTAAAATAAGAGGACACGCACAATCTTTTTATTAGTTTAATTTTTAGAAACAAATAATTAAAATTTTGAAAAAATAAAAAGTAAATTTGTTACACATTTTGCCAACTTACTATATATTTATATTTAGATTATTTTTTGAATTTTTTGTTTACATTAGAAATTATTTCTCCATTTTGAAAAGAATTTTTTTAAAAAAAATATTATATATTTTTTATTTAGCTGAATTTAAAATATTATATATTTTTTATTTAGCTGAAGATTTATTTACTTGATAAAATTATTTATTTTATTGATAAAACATTCTTGATTTAATTTTTTGTATTTTTATTATAATTTATTTTCAATTTATTTTTTATAAGAAAATTTTTTATTGCATGAGATTTTATAATTTCTACATTTTTTTCTTTCCTATTTTTTCTTTGGATTTTAAAAATAAAATACAAAAAAGTAACTAATCATAAATTAATAAAAAAATTAACAATTTTATCTTTTCTTTTACCCCTTTAATATATATACATACATATACATACAAATTTGATTTTTTTTTTCTAGTGGTAAATAAATAAAACTTGGCATAAAGACTTAACAATTTTTTAAAAAAGTTTTTAATCAATTATTCTTCTTTTTTTCTTTTGAAATTTGAACCAATTAACAAAAATATAAGAGATGTGGGGTTTTTTTTAGCATGCATGAATGCAATGCAGCCTCTCTTACATTTGACTATTGATTCACACCATGCATTGTTTATTTATTTTGATGATCAAACTATTTTCTTAGATGTTTTGATTATTTTGTGCTTCAATTGAATGCCAATTGCTCCCAATCTGTTGATAAAGAGTATAAGTGAAAGTTAAAAAACCAAAATAAAAAATATGTGAAAAATAAGTGGTAATTTCAAAATTATTGAAAAAAATTTACTTTAATTCTCTATCTTTTCAATTGATAACTTTTGACCTTTTTAGTTTGAATAAATTTAATTTTAGTATAAAATTTTAATTTTTTTAACTTTTCAATCTATAGTTTGATAAAGGAAAGAGAGAAGCTAGATTTTGGTGTAAAAAAAATCAATAGTTAACACTAATTACACTAATGAAAATAGTTAATTTTGGTATAAACAAATACCATTTCATTTAAGAAGTTTCATTAATGTGTTTTTTTCCCATGAAATTGATAAAAAAAAAAAATCAAACTTGGGAGAGGATTTTTCTCGGCTTAGATTTGTGTTTTTAGACATGTTTTAGTGGTTTTTAGGTTAGTTTATTGGTTTATTTTTATCATAGGAATGTTGTAAGGTGTTTTGGTGTGACATTTGTATTTTTGAGTCAAAAAACACCTTGCTGAATTTTCTGGACATTCTTATGGTAGTTGAAAAATAGAAAAGTATGTGATGCATTACCTACTTTTATTTTTTTATAACATTTTAGGGTAGGTGTTGTGGTATCTGTCTTGTTTATAAATAAAAATTAATAATTTGAGATTCATGTAGCGTTGTATTAATTATTTTTTTTTTATAATTTTTATTTTATTTTATTATATAGAAGCATTGATTTTTTAATTTATAATTATAATTTTTTTAAATTAAAAAAAGTATTAAAAAAACTTGTACATTTGTTTTTTTAACTATAAAACAATTTAGCTACGTGGGTCAACTAATTAGCAAGAAACTAATACATGCATCCCCTCTCTTTAAAAATTCAAAATTAATGAAAAATTGAGTTAATCATTATAAGAGATCTTAACTGTTTAATAAAATAATTCATAAAAACTCTAAGGATCATATGAATCAACTGCTAAAATTTAAAATATAAAGATATTTTTATTAAAAATTTAAATCATATGGATCTCTAAGGATTCAAGTATATGATTTCACATTAAAAGTTTACACATTAAGATGAAAAAGAGAAACAAAAAACATTACTATTGAGTAAACAAAAGAGTTTGAGATTAAGTATTTGATAATCTTCAAGATATATATTTTTTTATTTAGAAGAAAAAAAGTTTTATACCACATATCCAATTCTGACACCCAAAAAATAAGTGGTCTTTAGAAGATTTTGAAAATAGAAAAGAATTTTTCTAAATTCATTAGTAATAAAAATTAGAATAAATCATAAATTATTCTAGGATAGTATTAAAAATTTAATTGAAAAATTACAGTAACTTTCCAAATAAAAAAAACACATGGATTATTGACATGACATTTATGATTGAATTAAAAAAAAAAACATAAGTTTAATTATTAAGTAGGTAGCCTAATGGTAAGAGTTTGAAATTAAAGTGTTTATTTTCATTGTAGTTTTAAGTTTGAGTCCTGTGATTGTTAACACGATGATTGTAAGTTTATATATTGTAAGTTTATATAATTATTAATTTCAGGCTTCGAATTAAAAAAAAAACACAAGTTTAATTATTAAGTAGGTAGCCTAGTGGTAAGAGTTTGAAATTAAAATGTTTATTTTTATTGTAGTTTTAAGTTTGAGTCTTGTGATTGTTAATATGATGATTATAAGTTTATATAATTATTAATTTCAGGCTTGTGAGATTGGCTTTAAACGCTGACATTATCATTTGAAAACAATTTGATTTTTTATTTATAGAAAAAGAACCAAAGATTGTATTCTAGAAACACATTTTTTTAATGATATTCTAGATGGCCCTTCTTTATACATTAAAAACTCTAATGATTTAGTTGGCGGCAGAAGCCTCATAATAACTCCAAGATCATACTCCAACCTATAGTATGGTCTCTACTTTAATCTATCCGCATGACATCTTGATCATTAAAAGAAGTTTTCATTTTTCCATTAAAATGAAAATCTAAATGCAAGAATGCATAAAGACAGAAATGTGCCTCCAAATATTTAATATATGTTTAGAAATTGATGCTCAAAGTATAGAGAAGTGTCCACTGCCCTCTCAAAACAAACAAGATATAACAAAACTATCAATAAGCAATGCGCAGTGAGGGACACCCACACCCTGACCAAAGCAGCCCCTAAATATTCCTACATTTAAACAACGTATGAGAAGGTGAATCAAGATGTCTAACAGTGTTTATTTTCTGATTTGTCTGCAGGTAGCATAGTGTGAAAACAACACACAGAGCACAATCTCCATGGTCGACTTTGATAGAGTACACGATGAAAATTGATGGTGAATAGGATTCCCATTTTCCGAACAAGAGATTTAACTATTTGAGAAGAAGGGAAATGAGTAACTAATACCCTTTGTAAAACAACTAGAAACACCAAGAGTGATTCTTTGTGTGGCTGCGTCTGTATCCTAGTTAAGAGGGCGGGGGGGGAGAAAAGGGAGAGTTGTGCTTTCCATGCAATACCTGAATCGTAACATGTAAATATCCTTAGAAAGAGATAAAAGCAAAAGTAGCAGACAGGAGTCCCTAGCTAGCTGATAGGAGGTAGAGATAGGATGTTTCAGGGACGAGCTACATGAACAGAGATGAATAGGCGATACAGAAGGAAAGGGTCCCCTCCTTACTATCTGATGATACTGCAATGTCTCAGACACAAACTAGATGAAATGACATGAAAACTGATAAAGAGTGAAGGGGACTCTCCTCTCTGCTCTCTTGAAGAACAGCACAGATAAAGTAACTGAACGAGGTTGTGGTTTGTAAATGTCAAATACATTTGTATGATAGGGAAATGGGTTTTGCTTAGTTAATGTCAAATATAAATAATTTCTGGTCAACGAAAAATGGAAAACATGGAAAATGAGAGAACAAGAAAATGTGGTGAAGTTTGGTGACTTAGCGAATCGAAACCCACCAGGCTGTTAAACTTTTACCATTTCAAACTTTGAGTAACTTCCTATACTGCAGCTGACAGGGAGAACAAGCTATAAATTTAAGACATTTAAGAGGCAGTGACAAAAGCTAACAGGCATGCCAATTTTCATTATGGTGATAATTGTTAGCTACAGAAACTTCGTCTGCTTAAAATTCGGAGTCAGGGAAGCTTGAGGCAGCACAAGTTTTAAAGCAAGGCATTGTTGGAACATAACAGAATCCTGTAATCAGAGCAATCACATCCTGCTACTACAAAAGAAACGGTCCTCCAGAGCAATGCAGTGCAATGGCGGTAATGTGAAAAATAATAAAATGAAAATCATGTCCAGATCAGATTCAAAGTGTGAGTAGAATGTGGCTGTGTGCTGACTGGAGATTTGGGGTCACAGTATGTTCTTTTGATTTTTTAGTAAGAAAAGGCAGAATGCATGTTGGAAAACCCAATTTAAGTGGACACTTATTTACAGCTAGTCAAGTAGTAGTGAAATAAAGAGCAAATATTTTCAGGGATTATAAATCTAACAAATACCGCTGTAGCATTTATTTACGAAGAATATATGAAGATTACATACATGGAACATAAAGTAGTAGGAACTGAGCCACCACAGACACGAGATGTTGATACAAGACCATCGAAGATTTTTAGACATCGGCCTTGATGGAAGAGCTGTATCCACTTTGATCATCATAGTACTTGGACCACAGCATCACACCACCATACTTATCAGACCCCTTGATGGCTGGAAGCACGTTGGAAGTTAAATCAGGTACAGGAATGAAACCACTTCCTGCTGCCTCAGGAGAAGCAGGTAATCCTAGGAAAAACACAGTGGCTGGAATGTCTGAAACCCATTGCTTCCATGCATCTTCGAGATTGGTAACATCACCGGATGTGTACTGACATGGAGGGTTGTTGTAGAACTGGACCCAAACATAGTCGAAAAGACCTGTTTTGAGGGCATTTCCTACAGACGCATCAGGAAATGGGCACTGGGGTGCTGCCGTTAGGTACACCTTTTTTCCTTGATTGCTGTATGCTGAAAGGTACCTTGCAAGATCATCCCAGTACAGGTCTGTTCCTCCTTCAATATCAAAGTCAACTCCATCTAGAACAGCAGGGCCGAGCGGACGGGATGAGGATTGTCCACCCAGGAAGTTGTTCCAGATATAAGTGGCGACCTGTCTTGCGTCATCAGAGGAGGCCAGGGAGTAGCTTCCGGAACCTCCTCCGATAGAAAGCATCATATTAATGCCTTTGGATTGACATGATTCTATGTCAGAGCTTAAGCCCGTGCAACCTTTACTGTATGGATCGCAGTGACCGGCAAGGTTCATCATTGGGTTACGACCGCTACCAAAACTGGAAAGAAAAGCAATGTTAACGAACTCATATAATCCCGTGGCACAAGTCTCTGCCAAGGTACCCTCATTTCCATTCTGGCCCCAATAAATAGCGATGCCACCTGCATTTGAACCCGTTGCTAGCAGTAACATTACTAAGAGGAGGAATGGCATTGAAGTTGTTGTTAGTACTGCCATTTTAAGGTAGCTACCAAGTCTTTATATGATGATAAGTCCCTTCTACTTCTTTGTTGAGGATTCTGGATAGCCATGGCTTTTTATAGCAAAAACTTTCCCCTCTTCTAATAATCATATTTTGTGCCTATGCTTAAATGGAGTGCCGTAACAGTTACCCCTTATTTTGTAGTGAGGTTTTGAAATTTCAATGAATGGTTTTGATATCCAACAGTTGGTTAATTTATTCATCTTTCCACGCCACTTTGCCTTTCGTCCATTTCCTCCTTTGTCCTGGTTGCTTGCTCGAAATATAGTGGTAGACGGAGAGAAGTAGCCATCAACTCCAAGTCTCCATCTTGACTGCTATAACTAATGTTTGATTTCTCTTGTTTAAACCGTTTCCAGCTCATTATCTTGGAAAGCACGGGAGTGCTTAAGCGGAATGGTTTGAATCCTAGATAACAATTATTCGTGCTCAGATGGAATTAGTATTTGTCTTCATGGATGGTAACTTCGCTTATAAAAACAAGAATGGAGTCTTGTTTGTGCATTCACTGTGATTATCTTCTTGTTTATTGATGGTTTTTTTGGGCGATGATCCAGCTTGGTGGAAAACCAAGGGTTATCTGGTGCTCAAGGAAATTAGGGAGTAAATTGATAATTATTTCTCCTGTGATGAAGATGAATTTTCTGGTCCAATAAGCTCAATCAAGCAAAACAAAACCAAAATATTTTATATGTAGCTCTTATTCTAAGAGCATAACACAATTTGCAAAAGGATTAAGGCATTTTATCCAAAGAGAAGTTATTGAGATTAAGTTCTGTAAAATATGAAATTCATACTGTCTCGTAGTGAACTGTACCAAGCATGACAAAGGAGAAAACAAGGACAAAGCATTGAAGCCCGCCCGAGTGCAACATTTCCGCAATTCCTGTACTTTGGTAACTTCGTGGTACACTGCAGCTAACAGCACCAATAAACAATGATTTAATAGCAGAAGAGGCCAACAATTTAAGACACGTTGGAGGCAAACGAAGGCTAACGGGCATGCAGATTTTTTCAAAATGGATATTTTCAAGCTTAAAAAAACTCCGTCTGCGTGGAAGTATGAAGCAGGGGAACTTAGGAGACGTAACTGTTAAGGCAAGGCATCGTTAGAATACAAAAACCCCTGCGGTCAGAGCAATCGTATCCCTTTACTATAAAAGCAATTCTCCTACAGCACAATGCAGTGCATTCTGCATTAGAACAATTCCAAGGGGGTAGCAAAAGTAGATTAAGATGGCATTTCAACCAGCAACTACATTATCAGTTGCCGCATTAGTATTGCTAATTTTAGCAAGAGGATCTGATGCTGGTGGAATAGCAATCTACTGGGGTCAGAACGGAAACGAGGGAACCCTGGCAGATACTTGTGCAACTGGAAACTACCAATATGTAAACCTGGCCTTCCTCGTGACTTTCGGAAATGGCCAGACTCCCATGATTAACCTTGCTGGGCATTGCGATCCATACAGCAATGGCTGCACAAGCTTGAGTTCTGACATTAAATCATGCCAAGCCCAAGGTGTTAAGGTGATGCTTTCTATAGGAGGAGCTTCTGGTAGCTACTCCCTCGCCTCCTCAGAGGACGCGAGGCAAGTCGCTACTTATCTCTGGAACAATTTCTTGGGGGGTCACTCTTCATCCCGTCCCCTGGGGTCTGCTGTCCTAGATGGGATTGACTTTGACATCGAAGGAGGAACAGGATTGTACTGGGATGACCTTGCAAGGTACCTTTCTGCTTATAGCAATAAAGGTAAAAGGGTGTACTTAACAGCAGCTCCCCAGTGCCCCTTCCCTGATGCTTGGGTGGGAAATGCCCTGAAAACCGGTCTTTTCGATTACGTTTGGGTCCAGTTCTACAACAACCCTCCTTGCCAATACGCTTCTGGGGAGGTCACCAATCTGGAGGATGCTTGGAAGCAATGGACTTCAGCCATTCCAGCCAGCAAGATTTTCTTGGGTTTGCCCGCATCTCCTGCGGCAGCAGGCAGCGGCTTCATTCCCGTGCCTGATCTCACATCGAACGTGCTTCCATCCATCAAGGACTCTTCCAAGTATGGGGGTGTAATGCTGTGGTCCAAGTATTACGATGATCAAAGCGGATATAGTTCTTCCATTAAGAATGATGTCTGATCTCACATTTCTGTCAATTCCGCGTGCCTGCATGCGTGATGTGTATCGGTTGTATTTCCAGATATTCTGATCTATGTTCTATATATGCATCTTTGGATACAAATTTGATTTGTGCTCGCTAGTTTCTTATATGCGGCTCTCTTCATGGTCTTGTTGTTTTATACTGCTACTTATGCCATGAACAAACATGGTCAAAATTTTAACAACTGGAACTTCGGAAACGATAAAACTGAAGCAGAACAATGCCAAGCTAATCAAAATCAACATTTCATGTCACATACAAGCGCAGGCATTATACTATGGATCCAGGTAATCAAAAAATTCAAATTGTAGAAGAGGATTAGCATCACAAAAAGGATGGCCACCCTTATTGCTCAAATCAGACATGGGTCAATATGGCTAAACCACAGACTATTACAGTGCGGTTGTACGATTTAAGTGAATTCAAGCATTCTTCCAACCTTTTCAACTGGTAGTAAACTGCTAATCTCCTAACCTGCGGGTCAACCTGCCCAACCCAACACTAGGCCTTGAGCTGACAAACCCATGTGATTAGTTGACAAAGATTTGGATGCAAATTTGGTGGAAAAGTTTTAGGACCAACCAACCCCACGTTCTCTGTGGTCATTACTAAACAATGGTTTATATGGAGAAGCGTAAAACAAGTCGCATGTACCTGGCCAATGGGCAACTTGGACCCAGCCAATGTGCCTGTCTAAATTAATCTGGATGAATTGGAGGCAGAAGCTCTCGTTATTAGATAAATTCCAAGTGTGATCAGCAACAATTTTTTTCCAAGAAAGGTTGCAGTATAAATAGATTCAAGAACGGGTTTAATATAATTTATTTTCTTTCTTGTATTAAATTTCAAATGGGAGGAGGGAGAAAAACTAATGAATTTCAACACAAAAGTCTAGGGGTTGATTTTGAAGAAGTTAAGTTTGTAAAATATATTCATAATTTTGGTGCTTTCTGTTTTGTTCTTTTCTGCTACTTTATCATAACAGGCCCCAACACAAGCATAAAACAATCAGGGGCATCATTACAAGTGTGTGTTTGGTTTACTATAAATATCAATATTCATGAACTATAACGGCAGGGGAATATTTTTCTCAAGAAACAATAAGAAAAGGAAAAGGAAAGATAAACTTCTGTAACAGCTATTTAATCCCCTTCTGATCAAAGAATCTGTAAAACTTCTGTAACAGCTAAACAAGAAATATACTTCCAATAGCAAGGAGTTTTTATATAAAGCCTGTTCAGAACGCCAATACCAGTACAAACCCTGTCAATTAAAGGTTAAAATTTAGAGGAAAAAAAGCACAAGAAAATAAAATTTCCAAATATGAAACAAAATATGTAAAGAGCAAAGAGATTGAAATTAAACAAGAAACTGTGATCGCTGGGCCTTGATAAGCCTTCATGAAATGTCGACCTTCATCCGTGAGTATTAACAGCTTCCCACAGCATGTTTTTCGGAACAGGGTTGGCCAGGTCCCTAGCCTGCAGAGCGACATTCCTGAGTTTCCTGATTGTCCACACGTTGGCTTCCCAGAAGGACAAGCTCCTGTAAGATAAATTGTGCTTCTTGCACAGATCCTGTACCAATGGTGAAACTCTTCTCAATTGGCATCTCGGCATCCTTGGAAACAAATGATGCTCAAGCTGAAACTGCAAACCACCATAAAACCAATCCATCCAAGATGAACACGAAATATCCAAAGTCCCACTTGTCTGTTTCTCAAACCAATCATTCCCTTCTGGAAGTCCAGTATACACATCGGCCGCAAAATGATTCAAACAAAATTGAACGTGTTGAATTGCCGTAACAGCAAAGCTTGTAAGCACAAACATCACCCTCTCGGGCCAATTAGGGATGCAAGACACAAGTAGAGGGAACCAAGTCCAGAAGATAAGAATTCCCAAGATGTTCAAAGCTCTATCTGGGAATCTTCTCTTTGAAAACAATAGCAAGAACGTCTGTATGTACAAATTGACCCTCGCAACACACATTACTGGATAAAAAGTCCAGTGTTGGTAACTCACAAAGAACCTGGCCACAGGATCAAAATTTAAGTACCTTCCATAAAAGCAAGACTTTATAGAATTGAAAAAAATCGAATTTACCGCAAAGACTGGTATGTGTTGAAGATCAGGATCATAATCAAGACTGTTGCAGGCAAGATGGTGTGCATTGTGGGTCCATTTCCACCAAGCAATGCTAATACCCGTGAGCGAGTTTCCAGCGAGGAATTGAGCAAGTTTGTTATAACCACGAGTATTCATCACCTGGTAATGCCCTGAATCATGACCAATATAGGCACTTTGAATCCAAAGAAACCCCAACACCACAGCAGAACCAAAATGAGCCCAAACACTCTGGCAACACAAAACACCATAAAGAACAACACCAAACATCAATACAATAGATGCCAGTGCATACATAGTAATATGTCCCTTCTTTTCGAACAGGCCCAGTTTAGCAAACTCTGAAGCAAGCCTCCTGTAATCCTTGGATGTCTCTGATAGCTTGAAATCTGTGAGATAATACCCTGTAAAGAGCTTATCGAGATATTTCCATGCTGTTCCAGGATGGTAGGCAATGAATGCATCAGTAGCATCTAGGCCTGCCATATTCATGAGAGCAACATCTCCACCTGGATGCTCATTCGCCCAATCAGAGACATCGTAAACCTTTCCCTGAATAGAGATCCACAAGTCTCCTGCCTTGTTGTGCTGCTTAAGCTCTTCGCTTGTAATGCCCTTCTTATCTCCCTCCATTGAGCCAAAATAGTATGAATTAGAGAGGTTTTGGTAT